CATAGATATGAAGTACTGTATTTTTAGAGTTTAATTTTCCTACTAAAAAAATAACTCACCTTGTATTCCCATGAATACGGTACATATCGAGCTCATCCTGACTTCCTTGTTGTAAGCTTGCCCATTTTTAAATCCTAGGAGGTCTCAGAACAGGAGGCTTTCATTAGATGTGTGTCTGGGAAGCACATCGTGGAGTAGGAATACATCTAAAATAAAATAAAAACTGAAGCAGAACAGTCTTTTTGAATCAGCATTTGCCATCACCCTTTTCTGTCTCCGTGGACCTGGGCCAAGGGCCTTGGAAGAAAAATGAAGTATCATGAGGAAAAGTGGAAAGACAGTTTGAAACTGAAGACCGCTTCTCTGGATTTCAAGTTTCAAACCAGAGACAGGAATTGTTGGGGGGAAATAGACTGAAACACATTAATTTATAAAGCATAGATTTTTTTCATCAGTTGAGAGAGTAAAACCCAGATAAATGATAGAACCTTAGGAACCTGGCATTCCCTTTAATGCTTGATTGATTACATATTGTATTTACTCAAGAGGTAATACCAAATATTACACCAAATGAAATTGGACTTACAACGCAGACTTACAAGTTGCACATACATATTTATGAAATAATACTTTTTTCTCTTTTCCCCCAAATCCCATTAATTTGTTGAATATTTTTTGTGCTAAGCTAATTACCAAAAGATTGTCTTCATAAATAAGATAACACTTCTGTCTTTGCTCCAAGAATTTCTCCTCCTTTCCTCTCTCTTCCAAGTGACAGATGCCTAAAGTACTCAAGTGCCTGAAGCAAAGTTTCTGATTGTTTACTTTTCAGAAAGCTTCCTGTTCAGTCCCCTTTTGATGCTTACATCATTGGTGAATTTACAATAGGTTTGCAGAAATAATTTCTCACTTGATGACTGGCTATTGATAAATCATGAGAAAGAAAAATAAAGTTCCAGTGCTCACAGCCAAAAAGAATTCATGGTCCTCTAGCCTTCATTAGAACAGGCATACACTCTAGGCTGTTTTTCTAAGAATGGTAAAGAGTTTGCACTGATATCAGCTACTGTTTCTGGTGACCAACTTTATATGTAAGTAGGTTTAAGCAATCAAGAGAAATTGATCAGATGCCTCCCAAAATTGCACCCTGAATAGAATTTTCCTAGAGCCAAATACCTTATCTCAACATTTAACTCAATGCAAGAAAACTAGAGAAAGTTAGCACGGAGAACAAGCAAGCCCAGTGTGGACAGCTCCTTGCTTGTCCCTGATAAGAGAGGGAGCACAGTAAAAATGCTCTGCTGGAAATGTGGGTCTGTCTTTTGCTATGTGCAACACTAGGCAAGTTATTTAATTTCTTTGACTTCTTTTTACTTCACCTGTAAAATAGTATCACCAATATCCGCATTGTACGGTTGTCATGGAATCAAATGAATCTATAGCACCAGTCAAAAGTAGAACCTGGTAAGTGAAGAACTATAGCAACATAAACTTAAGTCATAATGTACAACATATGCAAGCAAACAAACATGTCCTTTTAACTAGAAGGGCCATATGGTACTTGCAGCAATAGTGAAGTATAGAATTTCTCTGAATTTGAAGACAGTTTTGTTCTTTTTTTTTTTTTGACAGTTTTGTTCTTGATAGCAGATCATTTTCACAATAAAAGCATCAGGATGGCTTAAATAGGCTTAGCTTAGTTCAGATCAAATGAAGAAAAAGAGACAAGTCAAGATCATGATCTTTTCTACTTGCTCTGGAATGTGTTTCTCAAATGTATATTTACATGGTTGGGGCCATACACTCTCACAAGTGTTCCTTACCCAAGTGACTTTCTATGTTCTTATCACTCCAGTACTCTTTTCTTCCCTGTATTTTAAAATACGTGACAAAGATCAGTGCAAATATTAGGGCATTTCTGCTAAGGCTCCCTTTCTGCTAAGTGACTTAGTACTTTGACCTTGCCCCAGACACCCTGACGTGTGTTTAGTCCCTGGTATAAAGCATAAGCTCTCACATTTCACAATTTCATGATGAAGGGGAAAGAGGATGGTCACGGAGCTCAGGGGAGTGAGAGGAAGAACGATGCCCTGCTCACTTGGGGTTTTGTCTTCCAGAGGTCTTGCTCCGTTTTCCTGATTGCACCAGTATCAAGGCCATTGGATGTGTAATCGATTGTACACATCTGTCCTGCTGTTGCCCTGGTGACAATGTGTGGCCTTGTTCCTGGTGGTTTCTTTAGTTTTACAAGCTGGAGCACCCCGGGAGCAGAGGTGAGCAAGAGATCTTGTGTGGGATATCAGCCTTCCCCTTTAGAAGAACCTACATAGAGCATTGGTTAATGAAGATACCCTCCCTTCCGTGGCTGAAGCAACAACAGCTGTGGTCTTACTCTGTTTGAAAGGAAAAGAACCAATGTGCAGAACTGGATGGAAGAGGCTTCTTATTTGGCTATTTCTCTGCACTTACTGTTAAGCACATGGCTTTTGATGGTTTATTATCAGCTACTTTAGAATTGTGAAGCATGGAGAAAATACTTTCATATCAGTTTCATTTAAAAGAGTAACTTTTGAGCATATAAACTTTGCTTCCCTGAATGACAGTCCTACAGTAGTAGGTACTGGATTCACTTTCCCTGTCCTTTTGGCCAGGGGTGGGGGAGGATGATGACACCATCTCCTTTGTCTGCCACTTTGATTTCCAGTGTTATCTTGACCACTTGGCGTTCTTTCTGAATAGCTATAGTTCGGGATGAGTGGGCACGAGCCTCAGAGAAGAGCTGGCCTGAGAATGCAACAGCACCACAGAATAGGAGGCAAGAGGGACAGAAAGCACCTTGAAGGAAGAAAATACCGCTGCCTGGTGTCTCCAAACAGAGTTTCGCAGCCTCGTGTGTTTACACCACTCAGTGGGTCATCAGGGAAGGAAGCAGAAGAACTGCAGGCTTCAGTGTCAACAAGTTCAGGCAGTCAAGGCAAAAAGAGTGGGCCCCTTCTGAGAGAAATCTTTGCAAACAGAGGACGGTCAAGATAGTTTGAAATGTAATTCAGATCTGAGAATGAAAGTGGGTGGGTGAGGAGGAAGGGCACTTCAGCTGACAGCAGATCAGGTCATTTATAATGTAGTTTAAATGCTGAAGTGATGCCATCACTGTAAATGGATATGGTGCCATCCACTGTAAATGGACCCTAGGTTTCAGGGACATTGGCAAAACAAAAGGGATCAAAGCCATGCACTTAAATGAAAGTTGGCCTCCTCATTTGTGGGAGCACAGAAAGCTCACTAAACTTAGTTTACCTGAGATCTGAGTTTGTGTCTCTAGTTCATTCTGCTTAATGTTAATTAAGACTTCAGACTTAACTGTTTTTTAGTCTGACATATTAGTTGTTAAAAATATATCAAATACTGAGTAAACCAGGTGTGGTGGCACACACCTGTAATCCCAGCACACTGAGGCAAAATTTTGAGCTCAGCCTGGGAAATTTTATGACTTAGCAAAAACTGGTCTCAAATTAAAAATAAAGAGGGCTGGGGATATAGCTGTGTGTGAAGTCTGGGTTCAATCTGGGGATTGAACTACTACTACCACTACAAAAAAAAGTAAATGCTTGTAAATGATGATTCAGATACAAGTGAAATTATAAATTGGAGGTCATGGATTCAATTTCCACCTTCAAATACCTTTATATCAAATCAACATTTTGGGGCAAATCCAACCAGTCATCTGGCAATCATGGGCACTATTTTTCTTAATATTTATCTTAATCTAAATACGTTTGTGTAAACATGGTCACTACCTAAATATTAAACTACCGTGAGAATCTGATACCTACCATTTGACATATAGTATAACATTTAATATATTTGTGGAAACACAATTTTAAATAGTAAATAAAATAGTCCAATTAACTATAATTGGATTTTATTATACTTGGATATTAATGTTATCATGGGTTGGGGAGGGTAAAGAAAAAAGAAAATTGAGCAACTAATGAAGCAGAAGAGTCCATGTTATTATAAATAATTTAGCTTTTGAGGATTCTGTGCCATTTCCAATTATTTTCCAGCCCAAGAAGCACTGAAATTTGTCCAACTAGCTAGTAACATTCAAGATACCTTAAGACATGACTAGAGGGCTGAGGATTTAGCTCAGCGGCATAAGCACCTGCCTTGCAAGCAGGCAGTCGTGAGTTCAATCCCTGGTACCAATAAAAAGGAAAAAGGCAAAAAAAAAAAAAAAAAAAAAAAAGACAAGACATGACTAGACATGCCTAAGACATGTTTGTTTGACTAGATGTCATTTTGTCTAAAGTAGAATTTGAAGGTATCTTCAAATGAGGTGAAGAAGTATTTTTAATATGAATATCAGCAAAATGATTTTTTTTTTTGATTTTATGAGATGAGCTGAACTTCGGCTATAGAATTCAACATTTACCTAAAATGCAAATTGGAGGTAGATCAGCAAAGTGACTACAATAATGACTTGTTTTACATGAAATACATTAAAAAGACTCCCCAAAACATTAATAAAATAATAATTCTTTGGAAAGAATTCAATGGTGGTTAATCTGTATGAATAACCACAGTGCTTTAACTTCAATTAAACTTAGATTATTCTGCTGGAAAAGATTTTAAATATTTCTACACACGCACACACTACTCACATTTATAGATTCTCCAACAGGTACTAACCAAGGAGAGATTTCCACTGCACTTTCAAACCACTAAAGAGCAGATTTTGTTTGTCCATGTGAACTCATCTCCCGGGGCTGAAAATGAGAGATCACCTGCTCACTGGCACAGCTGATCCCTAGCCATCCTGACTTTTCCCTCCACCTTCCGTGGTCCTCTGAATAAATCTGGGGCCAAGTTCTTGTTACGTGCATTGCTGAGTGGGATGAGGGTAAGGGAGTAAAGAAGGAAATGCTGTTCCCATGGTCTTCCACTGGAGAATCCCTTGGATTGACTTCCTGAAATGTCCTTCTGTTTGCCTTCTCCAGGAATGGCGGCCCTAGATAGTAAGGCATCAGGAAAGATGGGGATGCGAGCTGTAGTCTATTACATGACTACCACCATCATTGCTGTGGTGATTGGCATAATCATTGTCATCATCATCCATCCTGGGAAGGGCACAAAGGAAAACATGTACAGAGAAGGCAAAATTGTCCAAGTGACTGCTGCAGATGCCTTCCTCGACTTAATCAGGTAGGTCCTTACAAACCTGTCCCCTTATTTTGGGAAGCTAATCAAAGTCTGGAAGAGGTACTTGATTGAACCAGCTTGGCTTGGCTTGAAATGAAAGTCACATTTTCACTTCTTTCTAACATAAACTGAAGAAAGGTACTATATTCTGGTGTCATATGGAAGAGGTGAGAAGGGCAAGGAGAAAGACAGATTTTGAGAGCCTTGTTTTTAGAATTCAGAATCTCATCAAGTTTTCTCCACTGTGATATGCATGCACATTGGAATATAAATGATTCTTAACCTACTTTTTAAAACTTATGCTTTAGGGCTGATTTTTAGTCTAACCATTGAACTCATAATTTAGAATGTATATCATTGTTCATTATAAAAAACATAGTTACATAAGGGACTTTACAGATCATTTGGTCATATCTGTCCCACGTCTTTCCTTTTGAACTATTTATGAAGGATTTGGCAGACTAGTTAGAATATTGAAGGATGAATTCTTCATCGCTGTTTTATTACAAACCACAGATATGGATTACAAATGTTTCATCTCACACTTGAAGCTCACTTGGTAATTGATGCCTTTTGACAGAACTTTGAAGTAAGCCAAAGTTTGAGCCTGATGCTCTCCTACTTTTTTTCTATAAATCTGCCCTATATTAGCAGGTCTTAGCAAGAAGTATACTGTATACTCAAAAGGAGGAAGAAGGTTTGCAAAGACTTAGGCATGGCTAAGGAAACCTCGCAGGGATGATGAGGTATGGAGAGCTAACAACAGTGGGAAGCTATTTTGTCCCATTCCTGATTAGGAAGAGAGCTGTTAATAGAACACAGAGAGCCATGGGAGAGGAGCTTCGGGGTAGGAGCTCTAGCTTTAATTGGAATGAGGAAGCTGCCACTAAACTTGTTAGCAAGAGAGCTAAGAGAATATATACATGGGCTGCTTTCTCTACCCTATACTCTGTCAGCACCACTAAACAACCCCACAGGCAACCAGAAAGCAAGAGAATCCATATGTAGATTGACCATGGAAGTCAACCAGTGCAAAAAGTGAACTAGAAAGTAGCTCTAGAAACTTTTTTTCCAGCTCCAGAGATTTCCCAGAACAGGCTTCCACATCCCACATCTGCTTAGTATCCCTCCACTGTGTAGCCCACCCAGCCTGTCCTCCTGAAACCTAGCAACAAAGTGACGAGGAAAGGACTTCCCATGGCCACCTGAAGAAGGCTCATTCAAGGGATTGATTTCATTTGTCATTGTAAGGAAGGGGCCCATGAAAGTAACATTCACAAAAGATTTGGGAGCCAGAGAGTCTCATCACTAGCACCTCTCAATTCCCACCATGGGCATCACCTAGCCCCGTGGTGTCTCTTCTTGAAAGTCCTTTTCAGAGAAATTAATAACAATGACCTAAAGGTAAAAAGTCACCCTCTAATATTCTACCAAATTGTCACCCAATAAGCATGTTTATATTTAGTTCATGCAGGAACTTCAAACTGTTCATCATATTTTCATGAACTTTACTCTCAAGTAATTTGAGTTGGGAATCCTATAGTAACTTTTCCTGTAATTTCTGCCTTTGCCTGAAAAATTGGTGTCTTTTCATTCCCAGTTTTATTGTCCCATCAGAGCATGTGAGTCTGTGCCCCTCTTTGCCCTAGCAACAAAAATATGAATATCCTGCCACCACTCAGTCACTTGGCTTCAGCATTTATCCTGGAATCTCCTGAATGCATACATTTATCATATAAATTAGCCCATAGAGCATAGATGAGCACAGAAAGGAAATACGATGATCTAGATAGTAAAATGAAAGGAACAAGAATTGAGAGTTGTTAACTATGACTTTAAAAGTGTGTAACTTCTGGATTTCAAGTTTAAGATATAACTGCCTGGAGCAGGCCTTCCCAGTCTTCCATCTTGGACCCTTAATGATGATTTAATCCAGTCTTCTCTTTAACTGATGAATCAACTGAGACATAAGTGGGTATCACGACTTGGACAATGTCATACTCCCCAGCTACCGTGCTGTCTCCCAGAATGAACTCTGACACTGCTTTGACAGTCTCTGAGGAAGTGACAAGTGCTGCTGCATGGGCCTCGAGATTAGATTTTGTAGCCACCAAAGAAGCTCCAGCAACTCAGTGCCAATGTCCCATCCCCCATTAGACCTTTGGGAGAATTTTTTGAAGAGTAGAATTTAGAATCCAAACATGAGTTATGATTCAGAACACTTGGTGCCTAAACACACAACACAAAACTAAGATGACCACTACTGAATAATATGTCAGTCAGTTACACTACTAATGTAGTATAGATGTAAGACTTTTTCAGTCTCACTTCAGTCTTTTCAGAAGGAGCATTTTGATTATGTAATAGTCAAATGAGGACTCTCAAAGGCTGGCAAAAGGACTTTTGAATTGAATTTGTGTCTTTCTTGAAAAATGTGAGTTACATGGGCCACACTTAGTAATAATCATAGGTTCCATTGGAAGTCATAAAATCCTCCCAGATCTTTGTCTTTTTCTTTTTGTTACTCGGTTCAGTAGAACCTTTTCTTAAACACAATCAAGCACAAATTTACTACAATATTTGGGAAGTCTGTCAAGTAACTGCTGTTTTCTTTGCAGGAACATGTTCCCTCCAAATCTGGTGGAAGCCTGCTTTAAACAGGTAAAAACCACAGCAACTCATTTACCTTCAAAACTTTCCTTTGGCCTGCTAAACAAAGTGGGAACCCACCCCACACCCCACCCTACGCACACAGCCCCTGCAGTTTCTCTGCCATGAAATGGAAAGCCGCAGGGTTTTCTAGGAAACTTTGGGAATTGGGGAAAGTGGTTCTTACCTCATACTGAATGCTTACTAGTTGTCAGATGTAGTGTGTATTGCCCCAAAACAGCACACTGAGTCCCTGCTATTGTTAAGGGGGCTAATCAGGAGACTGCCTTCCTCTCCTTTTCCCTCTGCTCACATACAAAAGCCCACCAAGCAAACAGACTCCAGTATAAAATGCATTAACAATTTACTTTAAACAAGATTGAATTGGTTAGTACAGTTTCTAGGTTTGATTTTTAAAAATCACTGAGCTGTTTTTATTAGAAGTCTGTTCAGAACATGCAGGATATCTGAAGAAGAACCACATGGGAAATGGCATCACCATATACAGAAGGCTTATTGTGTGCTATACACTTATGTTATATTTAATCTTCGCATAAGTATTATGAGCACTATACCTTCATTGGGTTGATGAGGCTCTCATTTATAAGAAGAAGATTATCTCGTAGACACAAGTTCTAACAAATGGAAAATGGCACACCTACCCAGAATTCAGATCCATTGGACTGACTGCAGAGTCCATCCATTTCCTGCAACATTTGCTTTCCAGAAAGCAACATTCTGGTGATGAGACACTTACCTGAAAACTATTGTACAGTCCAGTTCTAAATTTTTAGTCTTGTATTTAAGCAGTTCTTGGCCCACAGAATACAAATACATTTTACTTCCAAGGAATAAAAATCAGCAATGTTCACTCTAACCTTGCTTAACTATAAAAGCTTTGTTTCTTCAGGATATGAAAAGGCGAACAGCCATTCTGGATTAAATAGTACACTTCCCCAGATGCTGTCAGTTCACCTGTGTGGTAGCTCCCTAACATTTCTGCTTGTAATTTTAAGACAAACAAGACAAAATCCCAACCTCATGGAAAATAAGGTTTGATACATCTAAGTCTCCTTTAGTTTTCTTCTATTTCAAAAATTATAAAGACTGTTTTAATAGGTGGTACATGAGCACATTGAACAATTCAAACAGCATCTTTTTTCTCTTAAAAAAAAATCCTGAGAAGCCAAAATCTAACTTTCTTTATTCAAAAACAGCTGTATACATAAATAATAAACCCTTTTCCACCCAATCAAGCAAACACAGTACCAAGAATCTGACTATTCCAGTTATTCAGCTGGATCTGGGTGATATAAAAAAAATGCTGATTTCCAGATCTTTCAGGTGGGAAAAGTGCTGATTTGCACAGATTTATTGTATTTAGTTTGGGAATGCATTTACAGGATTTTGAAGGGGAAGTGTCGATGTCCGCTCCCGGCCGGCAGGAAGGACACACGACAAAGTCTGGTAGTGGACAACCTTTTCTTTTTATTTTCCTTCTCCGTACAGCCTGCCCTGGGTTCTCCCAGCTGAAGCCTCCTCTGGTCCGCTCCCCGCGGCTCCTTTTGTGCTTCAGTCTGCCCCAAAGCCTCTACCGGTCCGCTCTCCGCGGCTCCTTTTGGGCTTTTACTTCTGGGCTTCTACCTGGCTTCTTCTTCCGCCCAGGGGTGGCACCGGTATATATACGGGTACAGTGTCCAATCATGTTAAAGTAAGCAAGGCAAGCTGATTGGCTAACATCATCAGTTGCCAGGCAGACTATATTGTTGAGCGGGTTGTTTACGCGGTAAGCAGGAAACTAACATATTCGATGGGAGGGGCAATCTACCTCAGGCTTTGCTCTTTACCACAGGCCGCACGTCCGCCGCGCAAGGCGAGCTATCACAGACGCGGCTCCCAACATCTCCCCCTATTTTATTTTTTATGAATGTGCGCATCGTAGCCCTTCCTGGACTGGGTGCAGAGGCTTATGCCCTATGTGTAGGCCCACCGTAGGTCCTTGGCTTAGACCCTGGTTGGCCATGCCATGGTCTGCCAAGGCCCTGAGGCCCTCGTCCTTTTTCTAGGGCCAGGCACAAACTGGACGGAACCTGGATGCACACAAGCTTGCACTCATTTCCTCTCCGTAAAGAAATCCCCTCGGAGAGAAATTTAGACCTGGGCAGCATCTAACAGTCCAGCGGCTTACGTGCAGGATGGGGTAGGGCCTGGCTTAGGTTGAGTCGCACCGGGGGAGTACGCTCTTACCCGTCATTGACTCTCCTACCCTGCTATGTATTGTCACCTTATGGAGGAGAATGAGGGATGCCCGCCATATCTAGACTCGGTCGTGGGCCAATTGAGCAAGCCATGCATATGCCTGAGGATCTTCTTGTCCATTTCGGGCTACCGCTATTTCTATTCATCTTATTGGTTGGTCTGTGATGGATCTCCAGTAGGGCAGGTCTGATCTTCAGTCGAGGGCTTTGTTGCCCGTGTCAGTCTCTCCGGTATCCACAGTGGTTCTCGTCCCGGTTCCTGTGGGAAAACACAAACCGCGCCTCGGTTCCAGCTGACCACTGGATCCGGGCCCATCCATTGTCCTGTCAGGACATCTTTCCACTTCACCCACCCTTTATGGTTGGGGGAAGGGTTGCAGTGCTCCACAGCTGGGGAGCAATTATCATTATTTAAATTTAAAAAATTGTGTGTGAATAGTGCCATGGATAATCGTGCCTTTGGGGCCAGGCCTTGGCCTACTCCCCCTTTTTGTTTTTGTAAAATTTCTTTGAGGCTTCTATGAGCCCTCTCAATGATTCCTTGACCTTGGGGATTGTATGGGATACCATGTTTTAATTGAACCTCCATCATTTTGCAGAACTCATTGAAGGCTTTGCCTATATAGGCTGGTCCATTATCAGTTTTTAATATTTTTGGTTTGCCCCATGCGGCCCAAGCTGCCAGGCAATGATTGATCACATTAGACACTTTTTCACCTGTTTCTGCTGTTGCGAATATGACGTGAGAACAGGTGTCTGTGGAAACATGAACATATTTAAGAGTCCCAAACTCCTGTATATGTGTGATGTCCATCTGCCAAACATCACCAGGGATCAAACCTCGAGGGTTTACTCCCATCGGTATGGCAGGTTTGTATGTGGCACAGGAGTCACATAGTCGCACGATATCTCGTGCATCTGCTCTAGAAACATGGAAATGGTTTGCTAGTGTCCTGGCATTAACATGAAACTTATCATGGAAGGCACGGGCTCGCTCGATTGGTGTTAGTAAGGTAAAAATCCATAACGGGCGAGTGGCAGTGTCAGCAGCCGCATTCCCCTGTGCCATAGGCCCTGGCAGGGATGTATGTGCTCTTATGTGGGTGGTGAAGACCTTATGGTGTCTGTTCTGAAGCAATGTCTGGATAGACAGGAACAGTCCAGCCACTGTGGAAGTAGATCTAATTAAACTGGCAGTCTCAAGCACTTGCATAGCATTGACCACATACCTAGAATCGGAGACAATGTTAATGGCTTCTGAGAACCGTTCAAGAATCATTTTAACGATCTGCAGTTCCACCACCTGAGGCTGATCTGGTTTAAATTGTATGGTAACCGGGGGCTTGCCTAGGATCACATAGGCGCCTATATTGTAATTGCTGGGACTAATGGCTCAGAGGCAGTAACCTTTGGAAAAATTATAGGGTGCTGAGTGACAAATGACAAGATAGGGTCTTTAGGGTATTGATTGTTTATATCCCCATGGAAAACACATCTCAGAATGGCCCAGGTATCTATGCAGGCAGCCAGGGTCTTGATCTGGCTGGCGGTATAGGGTACTCGGATGGCTTGTGGTCCTGAGCCAAAATGTTGGACAGCTCTATCATGCGCTTCAAGGGCCAATGAAGCAACTGCCTCCGGGTAATGCTCTATGACTTTTGCAGGTGAGACCTTAGGGTGTATCCACAGTAGTGGTCCTTTCTGCCAAATCACCGCTGTAGGCTGTAGACTAGTCTGTAGCAAACAGACATCAAAGGGTCGCCCTGGTTCAATTCTGTGTAAGGTAGCCCCACCTAAGGCTTCCTCCACTCTCTGTAAGGCAGCTCTTGCCTCAGGAGTGAGCCTCCTGTGGGAGGCTATATCTGGGTCTCCCTTTAGAAGGTCGAACAGGGGTTTGAGATCTGAATTTGGTATATGTAAATATGGCCTAATCCAATTAATGTCTCCCAATAGCTTTTGCATGTCATTTAGGGTCCTAACGCCATCCGTCCTAATGGTGACCTTCTGTATAAGTCTGGAGGCGACACTGAGGTCCACACCTGCTGACCCAGGGGTGGCCCTTGTTGAAGGCTGCCATCCTGAGCTGTCCTGTCTCTGGCGCGGGGGCCCGCCTGTGAAGGGGGCCCCCTCTGGCCGTTTTTTGGCTCTCTAGCATCTTGTCCACAAATACGGTTGCCCTGAGCATCAAAGACCGACCTACACTCCTCAGCTTTGTGTGATCCCTTTTTGCATCGCCCACAAACATATGGTTCTTCATTCCTAGGACGAGGCCTAGCATCTGCATTGTTTGGGCAGTGACGTTTAATGTGTCCTGGCTCCCCGCAGGCAAAACACCCTTTAGCCTTACATTCCCCTTCTAACCCGCGAGGTCCCCTCTGCTGTACAGCCGCGGCCAGGAGAGCAGCCACTCCCGAGTTGGAGAGCGGCCCCCCTATCTCTCTGCATATCCTAATCCAGGCGTTGAGGTCCTTGTTCTTATGAGGAGCTATCGCTGCCTTGCACTCCTTTGTACATTGCTCAAAAATCAGCTGTCTTACCAGCGGTTGAGCCACTCCCGGATCAGAAAATATCTTATCGGCAGCATCTTGCATTCGGGCCACAAAGTCAACAAATGGCTCTGTGGTACCCTGAATTATTTTTGAAAGACACAAGGAGGCTGTTCCGGCACCGCTTACCTGTTTCCAGGCGCGGAGCCCTATGGCATTGATTTGTTCATAGACAGCGCCGGGGAACTGGGTCTGGTCATCAGCGTGCCGACCTTCTCCCATAAGCATTTCCTTGTTCCACCCCCGGTTTCCCCGATTGGCGTTTCTCTCAGCCTGCTCTGCAGAGAACTCTGCGTACCAGGCTCGCCAATCCAGGTAACTGCCCGAGGGCAGACACGCCTTTGCCAGCTGAATCCAGTCCGCGGGGGTGAGGGGCCCAGAAGACAGATTCTCCAGCATGGCAATGGTGTAAGGCGCAGTCGGCCCAAAGGTTGTAACTGCATTTTTAAGTTCTCTAATCTGCTTTATCTCAAAAGGCTCCCATACATTGCGTCCCTGGCCCATAGCTACTTGTACAGGAAATATCCCGTAGGGGCCACTATCTATCCCAGGTGGATGTACCTCATGAGACAAGCGTCCCCCCTGCCAAAGCCGCCTGTAAAAATACCGACCCGCCGGCGGCGGAGCATAAGACAGCGGCCGTGATTGGGCAGAAAATGGGGGCCCGTGCATCACTTCCTGTTCTGGCGAAAGGGGAGAGAGCTCCCAGGCAGCCGCCTCGTGGCGAGGAATCGCCTCCGGAAACGGCCCCCAAGGTGGGGCGGAAGGCTTCGCCTCCCTCTCGCGCCGGGGAGCGCTCAGGAGCTCTCTACTCCTCCGCAGACCAGGTTGAGCAGAGCGCGATTCTCGGGGCAACGCTGGAAAAGAACCCTGCGACTCCTTATTGAGCGACTTAGGCTCCTGACAGCTAGTCTCTTTGGCCTCCTTGCCATTCAACTTTCCCTCGTCCTCGGAGTCAGACGACTCCGAGGCTAGAGCCCCGTCCTCCTCCTTAGCATCCTTGTTCCCCTTGACGGACCCCTCTCGGGAGCTCCCTGACTGGGCCTGCTCAGATACCCTGCGTACTTTTGTAAGCTCTTGAGAGCTTTCTCCACAACCACCCTCGCTCTTAGTGTTGCTACCTAACATGTTTCCCATCTTTTAATATGTTACTCACCGCGTGAGGCCCAAGGAATCCGCCACTTACGCGTGAGCCTGAGGGGAGTCTAAAAGCCCTGTAGGTGCGCGCCACCCAGAGCCCAGGCTTATCCCCAACTCACCTGTCTCGCAGCTCTGTACTGGAGCGTTGTCCACTTCCACGTCTCGGGGGTGATCAGTCCCCGGGCGGGCCTCCAAATGTCGATGTCCGCTCCCGGCCGGCAGGAAGGACACACGACAAAGTCTGGTAGTGGACAACCTTTTCTTTTTATTTTCCTTCTCCGTACAGCCTGCCCTGGGTTCTCCCAGCTGAAGCCTCCTCTGGTCCGCTCCCCGCGGCTCCTTTTGTGCTTCAGTCTGCCCCAAAGCCTCTACCGGTCCGCTCTCCGCGGCTCCTTTTGGGCTTTTACTTCTGGGCTTCTACCTGGCTTCTTCTTCCGCCCAGGGGTGGCACCGGTATATATACGGGTACAGTGTCCAATCATGTTAAAGTAAGCAAGGCAAGCTGATTGGCTAACATCATCAGTTGCCAGGCAGACTATATTGTTGAGCGGGTTGTTTACGCGGTAAGCAGGAAACTAACATATTCGATGGGAGGGGTAATCTACCTCAGGCTTTGCTCTTTACCACAGGCCGCACGTCCGCCGCGCAAGGCGAGCTATCACAGACGCGGCTCCCAACAGGGAAGCAAAAGTATCTCCCCAGATCTTTTTGGCTTAGACCAGAATGCAAATGAGGTTGCAGTTTCTGAGTTGGCTGCAAACTGGGTCTAAGGGGAAGGAATTGGACACACAGAAAAGGCTGATGGGGATAGAAAAATCTACCGTGGGCAATTTATAAAACGCATAAGCACCCAAAAGAGTAAAGAGATTTGGGAGGTGACTAGATTCTTTGTTGCTTAAAATTACTAGCGATACCACTGATTGTTCAGGGATGTGTCCACAGTACTAACAGATAACCTTGCCCTTGTTTGGGAATAATAGATTCCCAACAGACCAGAAAGTCTCCCGCTTACTCTTGGCAAAGAAATGGCCAAGCACTTGACGTCTGGCCGTTCTTTCTCTCCACAATAAATCCAGTCAACATCCTTACATTATTACTCACACTGTTGCTTTGCAACCACCAATATCAAGACTAAGAATTCTACTCCTGTTAAGATCATAGAGAGATGAGTTTTATTGTTTTATGTTATCACAGCGACACTATCACCATCTTTTGCTAGGAGCATCTATGCAAAGCCACAGTAGAAAGGCCGTCTCTTTGGTTGGAAGAGAAATGCCACTGTAGACTTGAAGAGAATGAGTTGTCATCATCAGCTGTTCATCAGGCATCTATTCCTAAGAACTGAAAATATCAGGAATGGTTTGATGACCAGTTACTTAGGACTTTTTACTTTTAATATCCACTGAAATATCCAACCAGGTCTAATTTCTGAAGGACTTTGTCACTGAGCATCATTAGCCAACATTAGCATAGTACTGTAAAGTTTACAAGATGTTCTCATATATTATTTTTTGTTTGATCACTAACAACTCCATGAACTAGAACCGGTGCAGTTATTCTTGTTTCATGGCTGTGGAATATGAGAGAAAGGGGAGACATAGCTTATCGGTGATCCTGTAGCATGATACCAGAATAAAGTAAAAGGACTCTTGGAAATATTTGAGTTTATGGCTTTTTATAATCCCATTATTGTCGTTTTATTGGGGTTTCAGAAGAAAGCAACTCCACATGTGTGTGTTTAGTCCAATACCTTAACTAGGTATATCTCCTCCCTACTGTGATTTATTATGTACTTGAGCATGTGTATGTGTTACGGTTGTGTGTATTTGAGTACATATAGATATGTCTGTCTGTGTTTGTTGGGAAGTATGGGTTTACCACAGATCCATAGAGAAATAGAAGGATGGATTAATAGAAAAGACAGAAAAATAGATAATTTCTATAACACTCTGCTTTGAATATAATGTAATATTTATTATTGTGGCAAATTTGGAAAACAAAACAATAGAAAAATGATAAAAATCACTTTGAATTCCTGACGTGCTTTTTATTTTTAAGTTTAAAACCAATTATGAGAAGAGAAGCTTCCGAGTGCCCATCCAGTCCAATGAGACCCTGCTAGGTGCCGTGATAAACAATGTGTCAGAGGCCATGGAGACGCTCACGCGGATCACAGAGGAGATGGTTCCAGTTCCGGGATCTGTGAATGGGGTCAACGCCTTGGGACTGGTTGTCTTTTCCATGTGCTTCGGTTTTGTGATTGGAAACATGAAGGAACAAGGGCAAGCCCTGCGAGAGTTCTTCGATTCTCTTAACGAAGCCATCATGAGATTGGTTGCAGTGATAATGTGGTAAGTATTTCTGTTTGCTATGTAACGGTCTGCAGGATGTATAATGCCACCAAAATGTGTTAAGTACTGAGAAAGACATCACAAGCCAGTTGCAGGGATCTCACTCTGGTAAGCACAAGGAAATCAGTGCATTTCTGAACCTGTAGAGACCATAAACCTATACGTAAGCCTCTCGATAAGTTTCAAAAGGTGTCAACTCCTTTACCCAAGTGCCAGTGGAACCCCACTCCTCATTGGCCCACTTTGTATCTACACAGTTATTAATTTCAGACATATTCAGTGTCTGCTACATGGCAAGTAGAGCATGCAAGGCACTGGGAATACAGCAAAGAAAACAGCATGCAAGAACATCCTCAGGATCTTTCATTCTTTAAAGGAGACAGATATAAGCAAATAAATTACCCAGGTGCTTTAGTTATGAAAGCTGTGAAAATATAAAATAACCTGCATGGCGAAGAAAGACCTCTGAATTGATACTTTTTTTGCTAAGACCTGAATGCTCAAGAGAAGCCAGTCCCACAAAGTACCCAAAGAATAGCATTTCCACCTGAGAGAAAAGCAAATGCCCTACACCATCAGATGAATTGAGATCTCCTCTCTCTATTTGAGCCCTAAGAGAGAAATGTACACACCAATGCTGATGCAATGTACAGAAGGCCTCATGGGAAGTACTACAGAACACAAGCCACAATTTATAACATAACTTTCTCTACTAAAGCTAAGAGCGAGAGACAAAGGAAAAGACTAACCCCAAAGAGGAACAGTGACCTTGGAATGTAAACTTTGCCCAGCAGAGAAAGAAAGCTTTGCTTGATTTAGGCCTCATGTGGGGGTTACTTTCCTTTTATCCTTTATTTTTAATATCCAAACTCTTTCCTGGCACCTGAGCAGGAAGGCTCCCATTGCTATGAAGAACATTCACTCCCCAGCGTGATGAAAAATGCCCTTTGTCTCTAATGCCACCAAAGCCCAGAGGAATCCACTTTTTAGGAGTTTGCACAAGACAGATATGAACTTGGGCACAAAGACAGGTCAGAATGTGATCTCCACAGGACCCTCCAACTAGAAAGCTCCTTTGAAATCCTGGCAAGGCTGAAAGGGGACATTTTTCTTCATATGATTAAAATGCCTTCACCTTTCACCTCTTCCATGAAAGAAACTCATTGAAGACCACCAAATGAACCTCACATGTAGCTTTTTTAGCTGTACATTTGCTTATACATTTGACACTGAGTTATTACTTTCCTGAAAACAGGTACTCCCATGATTTCCTAGTCTGCATTTGTAAAGGACTTTTGAAAGAAGCACTGTACTATTCAGTTCACAATAAGTCCTCTGCAGTTCCCAGAAGACTCTATCCTTAAGGGTGATAACATCTCTGTTTTTGGTAATGTGAGTTTAGTGGTGATTTACTGTACACTCATAAAAGAGAGTTGAGAGCTGGGCTGTTGAGCCTTTGGGTTATGTCAGTATGTTCAAATCACTTTTTATCAGTTGTTCATTCCCTTTGGAATCTGCAGGAGAAAGCTCACAAATGGCAGAAGCAGCCTGGAGGCAATAATTATTTAATTACAATACCTATAATCTAATTGTGGTAGAATGTGTTTGCATATTATTAATTGTAATAACTGAGTTTATTTATATACTATTTAGAGCAAGTGATATTAGTTTTGCATTTGCACTATAACATGAAACTCTCTCTTAAAGTAAGTTTATTTAAGTAGAAATGGTGATTTGAACAAAAATACTAAGTAATGTTTAAGTGATGTGAAGATATGGAAAAAAGTAATAAAAGTGATGCTGGGGTAAGAGACCTGACTGTAAATCTGAAACACAACAGCGTGGGTCTCGTGCTTAACCTCAGGAAGCAGGCTGTGGTGTGGAAGGTGCACCCAAAGTGCGGATATAGGTTGCGGGATTGTGGCAATTCCAAGTTCTTAGCAGTGTTCAGAGGCAAGAGGAGTGTGTGAGTGAAGACCAGAAAAGTGGCCTGGGTACAATGACAGAAAAACTACCTAGTACAGGGGAAAGCTCTGTGCCTAGCTGTCACAAAGGTGTAAGAGGGTAAAAACATGTCTTAGAGCATGATTGGGTGACAGGAAAGTCTGACTCAGCAATATCCAAGGAAAATTTATATTAGAGGAAAGAAAAGAATTCACAATTTCTGTAAATTCTGAAAGAGTCCTGGTGAATTTACATGGTACAGCTCATTAGAAATCAGACTTTCAATCGTGCATGTGTTGCTTCTCCATAGGTATGCCCCTCTAGGTATCCTCTTCCTGATTGCAGGGAAAATTGTCGAGATGGAAGACATGGGTGTGATTGGAGGGCAGCTTGCCATGTACACGGTGACGGTCATTGTGGGACTCTTCATTCATGCAGTCATTGTGCTACCTCTCCTCTACTTCCTGGTAACCAGGAAGAACCCTTGGGTCTTCATTGGAGGTTTGCTACAAGCACTCATCACAGCTCTGGGGACCTCTTCAAGGTATGCACGCCCGGGTTGGTCAACTTTTCTGTCACTGAGACAAAATACATGACAACTGCAACTTAAAGGAGGAGTCTAATTTCGCATGTAGTTTTAGGGGTTTCAGTCCATGGTCAGCTAGCTCCAAGGCAGAAACAACATGACATAAATCCATAGTGAAACAAATCTGCTCATTTCATGGTGGCCAGAAAATAAAACGTAAGGGAGGAGCGTGGAGAGAAAGGGAACAAGGACCTGATACAGTCCCCAAAGTCATCCCTACCCAGACACCCCTTATGTGTGCTTTACTAATCTAAGCATCTCTCAAGTCAATCAGATTGGCAGTCAAGCCTGACCATCACACTCCTCCAAGACAATGTGTCTAAAATTTTAATTTGAACTTGAGCTTCTGAGCTTAGAGGTGGATAGAGGCATCTGAGCTGGGTTTTAAACTTCAGGAAGAATGAATTTGCTTTTTCATATCTATTTGGAATACAAAGAATCATTGGTTGCATATTCTTTTGTGGGGAACAAAATGGAAGTCACCTCTTCTTTCCTGTCCATTGCCACCATTCTTTTGCAGCTAAGGTGGGAGAGTGACTTGGCATGGGGTACTGTGATGGGGGAAAAACCACCAGTGATGCCTCAGAGGAACCCAGAGGCAGGACAGCTGCCAAGTGATCCCATGAGGGGACCACACTGTTCCTGACCCTGCTCCCCTTTTACGCAAGTGCAACTTAGTTCCTTTTAAGTTAGCAAGAGAAAGGAACTGTCTGTCCAAAAGAGCAAACGCAGACACAGCACAGGACCCTCCGCTGATGGCCTTGTTTTACTGTTCTCAGTTCTGCCACTTTACCCATCACCTTCAAGTGCCTGGAGGAGAACAACGGTGTGGACAAACGTGTCACCAGATTTGTGCTCCCTGTGGGGGCCACCATTAACATGGATGGAACAGCCCTCTATGAGGCTTTGGCTGCCATTTTCATCGCTCAAGTTAACAACTTCGACCTGAACTTTGGACAGATTATTACAATCAGGTACAAAAGAAGAGTTCAAGACAATGTTTTCTTCAGAATAGATTTTTAATGAATAAACTAGAGATCAAGGATGGATGAACAAATAGTTGGAAAGAGAATCCCACCTACACAGGAGATTGGGGGCATAGCTAGATATTTTTATTAGCTATGACAGATGTACATGCTCATTAACAACAAAATGAATAACAGAGAAATGTATAAGGTACACAGGATAGCTTATCGGCCACCATATCACTGCGTCTTTATGTAAGCAATCATTATTAATGTTTGGCTTGAAAAGAAGTTGGTCTAACTTGGTCTATGCACAGGTCTCGCTCTCTCTCTCTCTCTCTCTCTCTCTCTCTCTCTCTCCCTCTCCCTCCCTCTCTTTCTCTCCCAGGAACTGAACTCAGGACCTTGTGCTTGCCAGGCAGGCACTGTGCCACTAAGCTAAATTCCTGGCCATTTCTTTTTTTGCAATTAATTATACAATATATACTGTGTACCTTTTGACTGGTTTTCTTATCAATATATCATTTACAAATTAAGCTCATTCTTTTTAATGCCTGCAAAATACATAGTATTTCTTTTTTAAGTTAAATTATATTTCAATAGTATATCAGCTTTTATAAGCAATAGTGGAAAATAAAAATACACTTTGAGAACTGAATTCCCCGCCCCACCCCCCGGGGTTAGTTTTTAGGCACTAGAAGAAAGATAACATCATACTGGCAAGTAAGACTGAGAATTTGATTTTTACAAGGAATTTTTTAAACAATTTTGTTTGAGGTGCTTAATGAAAAGTTATTTTCTTTTTTTATAGTTTTTCCCAATCTCTTAGTTTCCTTCTGCAGGGGCAACCAGTGTTACTTGCCAGTTTCTCTTGTACCCTTTCAAAGATAATCCATGCATAACCTTGTGGGGACGGGGATCCATATGGGAGTACAACTCTCTTTTGCCTACTGAAAGTTACTATGTACAAGTGACCCATAATTCTAAGTGGCCACAGGAGACTTTAAGCATCATGATCCAGATCTGCCTCTGCTCTTCACTGTTGTCCATGTTCGTCTCAATTATTATGAACAATATATTTAGGGGGTCAAAATAAATCAGATTTTTTTCTTTTCACAGCTTTTTATTATGAAAGTTTTTATACATATAGAAAAGCTGGAACAATGTTATAACAAACATCCTCTACCTAGGCCTAAAACTTGTTAATATATTGCCATTTTTGCTGCCTTCCCTCATCCCTGCCATCATGACTTTACAGCTCTACATCATTTAGTATGCATCTCCTAAGAATAAGGATGGTCCTCTACATAGCCACACTAGTAAGAGTCTTGAAAAGATTTCCAGAATGTCTAGTCTATCTTCAGATTTTCCCAGTTGTCTTCAGAATAGCCTTTTCTCCCAGACCAAGACCAAATCCAGGCTCATGTGAAACATTTAGTTTTATGGTTTCTTTTCATCTTTATCAGTAAACTCACATTCTTGTTATGTTTATTTGGAAATAAGTTATCCTAGGCTTTGTATATATACTGTATGTTATTGGGAAACGGTATTAGCTGTAGGGTGCATTGCAATAAAAGACGGTGATACTGGTCATGGCCAAAGATCATTCACTGACCTAGAGGTTGTGGGAACCCTAAGCCCAGTCTGACCACTCTGGGGACTAGAAGAGCAGTATCTTGGCTCACCTGTAACCTATTCTTGGGCGTACTTTGGCATATTGGGCCAACATCCCTAAATCAGAAGAAAGGTTCAGTTACATGAGACAGAGAGAAAAACAATGAGAACAGTATTAATGACTTAAACAAGATAAAGTTCGTTTCTTTTTCATGTCTCTGCTCCACAAAGCCCTCAAAGCTATTGAGTATTCTGCTAGGGGACCAAGAGTGTGATTCCAAAATCTCTGGGGTATTACTTTTATTTGGGTGGTCTAGAATGACTGATCAACATCCCCAAATTTTACCAAGTAGAAAGTAAAGATGTGCCATAGGCTTTAAATTAATATTCACTTTCCCAAAAAAAGATAAAAATAGATTTCACGAAATACTGAATTAGAAAAAAAATAGATTATTTCACCCATGTACAAACACTTTCAGGAACCTGAGAAAGAATGTAGACATCAATTCCTTCATTTAAAGATGGCTGAAATAGTTTTGCCAACTTCTTGAGGGTGGTTGTGAGAATTATGTGAATAAGCTGTGTTTAGCATACCAGGTAACACGCTAAGTATGTGATGAATATTAACATGATATTAGTGTCACAGTTCTCTTTAAAACTCACTTCTGTTTTTCTGAAGCATGTCCTCTTTTGATAACCTGACAAGTCAGGCATTGTTACCAGGTATGTTTTGCAGGGTGTTCTCCATGGGGTGAGATTTGTAAAAATGTTTTCTGTTTTGGTATTTATCTCAACAGCATCACAGCTACGGCTGCAAGCATAGGGGCAGCTGGGATTCCTCAGGCGGGCCTGGTCACCATGGTCATCGTGCTGACCTCTGTGGGCCTGCCCACTGACGACATCACACTCATCATCGCGGTGGACTGGTTCCTGTGAGTATGCATACTCTGCATCTGCCTCACTTTGCAGGGCACCAAGAGGCATGCCTGTCAGAAGAACTTGGCCACTGTCTGAGCCCTGGCCTGAGGTGCTGTGTGAACTTACTCCCCTGTCATCCTGCAGGGAACATCTGGCTGCCATGCCTCTCACCCCATGAGCCATTCAGGATTGGGAAACCTGCCCTCTGCAAGCCAGCATGAATTGGCAAGGCTTTCCCTGAATTGCACAACACATGCCCACAGTGGTCCCACACGCTGGCTCCAGCGCTTCCTCCTTGCACGTCCCATTCCAGTAGTGAAATGCAGGGCAGATGCTCCCATCTGAGCTGCACGAGCTGAGCGGTAGCCATGCGGACAGTGGGAAGAGACCTAGCATCATTAAGTAGAACTAATTTCAGGTTCTTGGGAAAATTTTAAGAAATGTAATCCTGACCACCGGGGTTCACCCTGTGCCCTCTTCCCTTGTTCCAGCCAGCAGTCTCTGCCCTTTACCCCTCACAAGTCTACTTCCACTTTTGAAAAAATTCTCTCCAGGATACCCACAGCCTATGCCTAGAAAAACACATTGGGCACTGGGGTCCACCCGCTGACTTCACTAGAACTGATGGCCATGCAGAGCATGAGTGTGCACTAAAGCCAAGGTCCCAGCATGAGTTTTCCGGTTACTTGGATCATGTCCTGGCCCTTAACACTTACAGGTGACACACCACCCTAGTTTTCACCTCTGTGTAATGGGAATGCTCATGTCCTCTGCTTCCTGCTGGTACCATAAGGGTTAAATGCAATGACACATACACCAGCACTTGACTCACTGTAAGTTTCCCAACTATTTATACAACTGCTTCTATATCCAATGAGTTAACATTGGGTAACCTTTGCAAAACTGCACATTCTCGAGAAAATGAGTGGAAAGGGACAAATGACACTTTAGTATTATTATGCAATAGTTTTTCCCTTAGGGACTCCCTAAGTATCTCTAGAGCATACTTTGAGAACTGCTGATATAAAAGAAGGTAAACTGGAGGAAATGGAAATCTTAAATAAGAGAAGAAAGAGAAGGGTCATTTTCCATTACTACAGTCACTTTCAGCGACTGAAAATTGATTATCCATGTGGCCTTAATAATTTTTAATAGCCACTGTTATGAAGTCTGTATGTCTGGTAGGTAACCATGTAATGAATAGATTCATGGCATTGAACTTCAAGAGATGCTCATAGCTGGGTGTGATAGTACATGCCCAACACTCAAGAAGGTCGAGGCAGGAGGATTGCAAGTTTGAGCCCAGCATTGGCAACTTGGCAACTTAACAAGGTCTTGCCTCAAAATAAGAGAAAAAGAAAAAGATTGAGAATGCAACTCAATGCAAAGGCCCTCGATTCAATTCTAAGTACCATCAGGGAAAGAAATAAGGGGGAGAAGGGCAGGAGAGGGGAGAGGAAGGGAGGGGAGAGGCAGGAGAAAGGTGGGGAAGGGGTGACCTCCTAAAGACTTGGTCAGCCAACTCACAATGGAAGCTGAAATCTCGCGATGTTGACAGGCACCTCCTTTTGCCTTCCTCCCCACCTCACCACAGGGACCGCCTCCGAACCACAACCAACGTCCTGGGTGACTCCCTGGGAGCCGGCATTGTTGAGCACTTGTCACGACATGAACTGAAGAACAGAGATGTAGAAATGGGTAACTCAGTGATTGAAGAGAATGAAATGAAGAAACCATACCAGCTGGTTGCCCAGGACAATGAAACTGAGAAACCTCTAGACAGTGAGACCAAGATGTAGACTAACACAAGAGATGCTTTCGCGAGCACCAAGAGTTTGAAATCATCATGACATGTGTCCATCTGGTTAGGCTCATTCTTCCAGTGAGCCCCTTCCCTCCTCATTTCTCCCTGCTCTGATAGGATTGGAAGGCATTCACCCAAAAGAAGGGAGGATTTTGTGGCAGCCAAACTATCATTTTCACCCCACATTTGCAATGTGAAGATCATCTCCTATTAGTCTTATCTAATAAGATAGTAGGATCAAAAATTATCTTGATCAGGTCTGACAAATTTATGTGGCTCAGAATCCCACAAATGTGACTGTTTTACAAGTTAAAGAACCTAACAAATAGGCTAAAATATTTTCAGTCCACTTTCAAGTTACACATTCAAATTACACAAATCCTTCAGAACATTAGTCTCAAAACATAGCAACTCAATGACAGTCAGCTGTCAGTTGGACAGTAGAAGAATTTTCTTTCCCTTTCTCTTCTGATTTGTGTCTTCATTTTCTTGGGAGCAGGAAAATGTCCAGACGCATCCCCCACATTTGAGAAGGGACAGCAGGTGAAATGTCCATGTGGCTTTGCGCAAGTACCATCTGCTCTCTAGGCCTCAGTGTCTTCATCTGTACAATGAATGACTTCCCTAGTTGCCTTTCTGGTCTTACTAGCCCAGTCTTCCTGTGATATCACAAAAGAGCCTGCCCCCAATTTCTGCATGGAATAACCTGCACCAAGTGTCAGTCGATGGAGTACAGGGCTCTGAGAAAGAACATCTAATGAAAGTGAACATTTCTGTATTGGGACAGGGTGGTGAGTGGCTTGCCAGTTCCTGTATTTGAAACGTCAGTTACGCAAGTAATCCAGTAGAAGGCCATTCCAGGAAAGGGATTAATCATACAGCTCTTTGCCCATTTATTTCCAACAGGAGAAGTATTCCCTTCTTTCCTCCTCTCCCCAACCTGAAGGGAAGGATGTCTCCTGCCACTCAACTGACAGAAGATCTTTAGAAAATGAACAGTAGTAACTAGCAAAGGTGCTCATGGTCTTACTGGAACACTACAGAGCTAGAGAGAAAGGAAACAAACATGAGTGGCATTCAAGAGAGGATTTATAATACCAAGATTTAGGTCTTCCTTAAGGGAAAGTAAAAAAGAGCTTCATTTAAGTCTTTTTCCCCCTTACCTGAAACACTTTTCAGTTTTGAATCATTCTCCTAAGAAACATGCATACAAAAATATTACTTCTTGCATATTTTGAAGAAGTCAAATGAATGCACTAACACAGGTCTATGAACTGAGTTGGTGGTCTCTTATCTGAAAATATTTTTTTTACTCTAATCAGGTCTTAGAGAAACACAGTGCTTCCTTGTGTTGAAATCCCACTTATCAAATTATTTAAAACTTGTAGCCAGGGCAGGGTTTGCTTTAGTTTTGTCTGTGTGCCTAAGAGATACAGTAGAAGACAAATCAGTAGGGAGACAGTGTCAATGGGGTTGCAAGGAGAGACAGCAGTGGCATTAGTTTCCAGCAAGGCAGCTCCCAGATTGAAAAGAAGTTTTTGTTGCCTCAAAGAATATCCAGTCAAGACTCTCAGCAGGAGCTGTCCGTGATGGTACCAGCTGTGTTTGAGTTTCTGCCTGAAAATGAGGAAGAATGGACTTAATTATGCTAACAAACTGAAAATCTAGACCTACACCCTGTTATACAATTAGAGACTTTTTTTGTAGAGATCCTGAGCACTATGTGCATCTAAAAGTTAACCTTAGGCTGTGGTAGAGTAAACATTTAATTCCAAGACTCTATTTGGGAAATACGCTACAGATTTAATGTACAAGGCTGCCATGACACTATTAGAGCAACAATTAACTGTGTCAAAATAATTCTGTTACATGGCGTGATGTTTTTATACTAACCGTTTCTTATGAAAGCAGGTCCTCTGGGGCGATCCTCTGGCTGGCCTATCCCAGGCTCTGCATATATACGCGCCTAGTGTGGACCAAGAGGCGTTACTGTATAGGTGTATTTTCAATAAAGAAGAAAATAGTTTTACATTAATATACTCGTGTGTTGTTATTCTTTTCTCTGAAGGAGACGTAATTTTCTTTTCGTGGAAGTATTGCCAGGAGCTCAGGGCCAGCTGGGGAAGGATGCCACACGGCATCATAAAATCTTGGCAGAACGTGCTGAGCGAGTCAGCCACAAGGAAATGAGTAAGAACACCTTCTGTCAGTTCCTAAAACTGGGGATGGAAACTGGAGGCAAGGGGTCCACCCCGCACTTACTTGTCCGGGTCAGATTCAAATTTCTCAGACAAGTGGAATCGTTTTCATGTCGGGATTGGTAAAGTGTAACACAACCATGCCCTTCCACAAAGTGATTTCTGACCTTCAGATTAAGGAGATTTATTGTGTAATTACTACCGCCATTTGTGAAAAGAGCTGAGTAAGAGGTAAGGAGTATTTCAGAACCAACCACACACTAATAAACCTCCCTACTCATTAAGACAGACATGGCTGACTCCTTCCTCACGTGCTTTTTCATGTAGAACTGACAGGCATTCTCATGAAATCTCCAGATTGAAGTTATGTCTAGAGACCCTTTCATCTGACCCTCTACCCAAAGGGGGCAGTCAGCCCTAGGTGGTCCATGTGAAAACTTCAATGGGTTTATACCCTTGGAATGTGAGGAAAACTCTGCATTTGCCTGATTCTCCTGGAGAAATCCCTAGACTATCTATTTCTCTACAAGTTCCTGTTAACCCCCGGCCCCAAATGCAAATCCACCATACTGTACTTGATCAGTACATTCTTTTTTTTTTCAAGGCATACAGTATATGATATTCATGTAGCCAATTTGAGAATGGGAAGGAGGCTGCTGGGAGTTCAGAGGGACAAAGCCTGGTGCCCCTAAGGAAATCAGCATCTGCATACTTGGGACACTAATCACTGAGAAGCCCACCCAGGCCAGGGCCAGGCCCTGCTCCCTCCTGCAGAGACCGATTTCCTCCCCATCTGCAGCCTAAACTGGATCCAGGTTAAGTTGGTCATCTGCCTGGGGAAGATTGTGGCAAGGCCACATGGTTAAGGGACAAGGCAGTGTAATTCCAGTGTGACCAAAACAAGATAAAGCAGGTACAGTTCCCTCTATTTCAGAGCCACAAATCTGTTCACAAGTGGCACTATGAAAAAGTAAACCCATTTCATAATTTTATTAAAAATCCTAGGCCCTCAGAAGTTAGGGTCCGTGGCCCCCTATTCCCATATCCATCCTGTCACCATCGCTGTCCAACTCACGCAGGATTCTTCTTCCCAAGCGAAACAATTTCACTTTACCAGCAAAAGCCTCTTTGCTATGCTTTTATTCCCATCCCCCAACGGAAAATAGAAACTGAAGAGCTGTTCATCGCATGGCTCTGAAGAGAGCCGGGAAGAAGGGCTCCTCTCCTGCTGGAGGGAGGCTTTGTGCACCGATTCTGCTGGGGTCGGCACAGGGCCTCTTTCCGGGCGGCCCGCCGGCCCTGACCCGAGGCTGCTGTCAATCATCGGCGGCCTCCGGGCGCGGGCCGGGGCAGCGCTCCCCTCTTCCTCCACCGGGGTGGTCCCAGAATTGGGGCAACAATGCCCAGCTCTGTGTGGCCTCGTCCTGGGGCCAGAGTACTTACGAGGTGGCAGGCCTAGGGCAGGCTCCGAATGAATAAACCGACACAAAAAGAAGGAAGGAGGAACAGAGGGAGCTGGGGGGAGCGACCCCAAAGGGCGAGAGGAGATGAGCAGTCTCGGGGCTCGCGGAGGCGGTCTGGGGAGCGATGCCCGAAGTAGCCACCAGGGGGAGCACGAAGCTCAGCTGGGCCGAGGTCTCAGAAACCCTAGCGAGGGGCAGAGAAGGGTTAATCTATGAAGACCATCAGCCCCCAGCGGCCCCCATTTCACGTTTCCCTCTGGTCCCCTGCTTCTGCAATAGCTCTCCAAGGGAGCACTTTGCTTTCTGGGCACCCCCACCCTTGTGGTTTTCTCCGCCTGTGTCCCCCACCTCTCTGCATCCTGCTGAGGAGTCTCAGGTCCCCACCCCTTCGCTTTTTTAGTGGGGGACTCAGAAGGTGGCACAGTAACACCTGCCCCCCTCCCCAGCCCTCTAGCTAACTGCTAGCTCAGCCTTCAGCTTTGAAACCGGCACAGTTTGTCAACTTCGACGCCTTCCAAGTAAGGTGGTCAGAAAAACACAGACACCTAGTTAAATCTGAGCTTCAGATAGCTAACTACCGTTTTAGTGCAAACGGCAAATAGCAAAGTGTTAGGATAAGTATAAGGCACCAGTCCCCGTTTCTGTCTGCGAATCTGGTAACCATACAAGTGACAGGAAGGACTGAAAATGACTGACTTGCCTTGATCAAAGGCAGACCATAAGTGAAAGGGTTTGTGTGTTTGGAGAGGGCGCATTGTCTTCGTAAATATTGTTCCAATTTTTAATGTCTGTCAGAAGGCTTTCTTAAGCACGCTTTTAAAAGTCCAGATCTGACATTTCCTACTGTTTACTTGTCCTGGAGACGTTATCATTCCTTGTGCGCTTGTGAATCTTGTGACCACAGCTTAAAAGCCTGATGAATCGCCTTTCAGACTTTACAGAACTGTCTTAAATAAATTCATTAATGTTTCCATTATCTATGCTTGGAATGTTTTAAGACTGGCATCTGTTTTTCTTTCCCTCCCTTTCCTATTTAATCTTTCCCTTTTCTCATTCCTTATTTCCACCCCCACAACCCCCAACCCAAGATAAAGTATTTTTGGTAATCCATTATAGGGCTGACAAATTAGGACAGTCATACAACCTTTTTCAATGATAGACACATTTTTTTTTCATTTGGAGCAACTGTTAGAAAAACATCTGTGTTATTTTTCATGTACTGCTATTCAAAGATAACCATTGTCTAGTCACTATAAAGTTGGGAATGAGCTATTTCTAAAAGATTTTCAGGGAACTCCAAATTCCATGGGTGGGAATAATTCCTACCAAAATCCCCTTCTGTAAGCCACGTCTGAGGAATATGAGAAACAGGGTCCAACTATTACGGCAGAGGAAACCAAATGAAATCATAAACTGTTTCCAGTCATGACATTGACACAACCACATTACGGATAGCAGCCGCCAAGCAGCATTTCTGACCCTGGAAAGTCAGATGGCAACTTGGGGATTTCTTTTCCAACTCCACAGGACCAGGCATCATAAAAAGTCCTGAAAGCAGCTGGCCAGGAGCTTCAAGGCTGAGTTGTCTCAGGAGAAAATAAAAGACCATTCAGCTGACCCAACCCTACCCAGATGTCTAAGCCCCTAACCCCCTCAAGTCTTCTTCAGCAATGCAAATCTCAAAACTGGCACCACATTCCAATGTCTTGGCACTACAGTGCCTTAGAGGCTCGCTTTTCCTTTGAGACCATGAGGGGCAATTAAGCAACAAAACAGAAAACAAACTTGAGAAAATGCTAGGTAAATATCCTATCTAGACTTTTTAAAACTTTATGCTTCCCAAAGCCTAAAGGCCTTCAGCTACAAAGTGATGCTCAAATTCAGACCTGTACACAGGAATGAGTTGAATCCCCAGTGCTAAATACTGATTTTCCGTCCTCTTCCTCTTCCTCTCTCTTCCCTTCTCTTCCTTTCCCCTCTCTTCCTTTCCCTTCATATCTTTCCTTCTCTCTCTCCTTCTTTGTACTAGGGATTAAACCCAGGGCCTTCTCATCAGGTCATCCCCAGCCCTTTTTTATTTTGACACAAAGTCTTGCTAACTCACTAAGTTGCCTAGACTGGGCTCAGACTTGCAGTCCTCCTGCCTCAGCCTCCCAGAGTGCTGAGACTACAGACCTGAGGTACCTCACCCAGCCTAGACCTGAATTTTTGAACAATTCATCAGGGCCCCAGACAGTGATCTCCTTGCACCTCAGTGTCCCCATCTGCACATGTGGAGATGCCATCTGCAAACCTCCTTTCACCTCTGGTTACCATGTGTTGAAGGGGATGTAAAGTCAGATTTAACCAGGCTTCACAAGTGACAGGCTAAACTTCAACTTCTTATCGTGAATGGGTATGACCATCCTTTTCTCATGACACTACAAAGAAAATGAAAGAAAGTATATAGTATTATATATTATATACGTGTTTACATAATATAGGTAAAATTCTCATCATAGTTCTTGGCATTCAGGAAGATTCTTAGTATGTTTGGAACAAAAGTGACCCCACAAAAGGGGAACAAGAGCCTAGGGTCAGCTGGATGGACCCCACTGCGTGGAAGGACCTGGAGAGAGACCGCAGCAGCCTTGTGTCTTCTGTGAGGGCGCTGGGCCGAGGCCATTACCCTGGAAACCGGCCTCTCGAGTCTGCCAGGCCTCTTGCCGAGGGCCCAGGCCGCCCTTGCCAGCCTCCCCCAGGCCTTTGTCAAGCACAGCTCTCCCAGCAGCCCGCGCTGCGTGGAGGTTTTGTGAAGGGCATAATTCGACACTCTGAGGAGACCACCCAGCTTCCTCTCCCAGGGTCTCCCAAGAGTACAAAGCTGTCCCTCTGTGTGCCAGCGACCTCCTGGTCTGCCCAGACCCCTCCCACTGTCCTCCAAGGCCAAGGGACCACGAGGGGCTGTCGGTGGGAACCCAGGGGACCCAGTGCTAAAGCTCTGTTGGCGCACCAGGCCCGACTCCATGCCTGGGATGCTGCTGCCACCCTGTGGCAAAGGCCTGACGGCCCAGAGCCCTGAGGCCCAAGCAGGAGGAAGCAAGGCTAGACCCGGCTGCCCTGTCACACAGAGGGACCCTGCGGTTCCTCCCCTAATTTGGTTAACATACAGTTACAGAGTGTCTACTATGATCCAGGGACAGCCACAGGCAACTGCAATAATACCCGCCCTCGTGACCTACATTTTAATACAGTACTACACGCTCTCCTACCCGCAGTATTTGTACATTCAGATCCTAACTCTCTACAGGGCTGTATTTGGACACAAGACTTTTGGAAGTAATTAAGTTTAAATGAGGTCATAACAGTAAGGTCCTAAGCCATTTGGGTCCTTG